TTTCTTTCTTTCTTTCTTTCTTTCTTTCTTTCTTTCTTTCTTTCCTTCCTTCTCTGATTTTCATCAAAATTAGCGATAAAAATCATGAAAAATAGAATTTCCGATTTATACCTACGAAAGCATAGCACTTTGGACCATGGCTAACACTTCACTTACTCGAGTTAGGGGGAATCGGATTGCTGAAAACACCTATTTATGGGTATAGAGAGTACCCCTTGCTAAAGATTCATTGATTATAAAAAGTGCAGATCAGATTGCTGTGGTAAATGCAGCTATTTGGATAATCGACAAACACCGCTAACACTTGTAAATAACAATTTAGTAACATCAATCACTCAACACCGATACTATGTATTTTATTCTTTAGATAAACAGCAGTTTAGACCATTTCTTCAATTTGCTTCATTTCTTTGCACGAAAATCCGGCTAGTTGGCTTAATTAAGCTGTGGCGAGTCATTTAATGACTGTTTTTACACTCACTAGGAATTCTGGCCAGTCTTGCCTGAAGGAAAAAAATATAAACTTATTAAACATTAAAAATGATAGGATAATTATTACTTTCGGGCTGTGAAAAGGACACCTTAAACTGAATGTGGTCTTTTTTAGTGCTTTTTTAAATAGTTTTGGTAATTATTTTATGCTGGTATTGTCATTATCATCGTTCATCATTCTCATCATATTTGAACTTGTTCAAATACATAATCATATTGACCACAAAACTAGACAGCTAAATTTAGAAAAGACCTGCTAGGAAATCTAAGGTCTTTGTATATCAATCGGTTAATATGGCTGTGTTTTTATTTCTCGTAAGGATTCCCGCTGTTAGAGGTTTCTCGCTTTCCTGTGTTATTTCTGGTAACCTTTCTTGTTGACTACTCTAGCATACATCACTCTAACCGCCCTCTAATTCCTTGCATTCCAAACCCTTTAGTTCTGGTGCCAAATCTAGGCCAGCAAACCTCAAAAGATCAAACCTTTTACCTATTTAGAGATATTTTGTTGGATTTTAGGGTTAACTATATAAACCTGCCTTGTTTTGAGAATAGAAGGCATAGAAGAGAATAAATGTTGATGGGATAAAACAAAGGTTTCCAACTGCTTTATCCGTTCTTTTCAATTATTCATTTTCGATTGTTTTACGACCCTTTTGTGTTTTTTCGTCTGGTATCCATGTCCAATTAATTTTTTTTTTTTTTTACATTTTCTTCTGGTAATTGCAAATTATATTTCCTAATTTTCCTCTCACTTCCTAGCTTTTCAAAATTTTTTTTTGTTAGTTAACATCCCGCTCTTCATATCTTTTAGATCATTTTTATTGCACTAACTTTCTAGGATAAGAGTGATTGTTTTAAGGTCGCTTAGAAAAATGCCGCCATGTCGATGTGATTAGAAACCTTTTCGAGCTCAATTCTAGCTCAATTCAAATGCAGTCTGTCTCGAAGCGCGTAAGAACCTTTGTCTATGTAAATGTGGCTCCTCAAACTAGCTCATTAATAATGCATGAGATTTTTATTTTTACTTGCCGAGTTCTATTCACCTTTCCTCACTGTATAACACGGCTGTCAAGATCAACACGGTCAAATGACTTGGTATCGAATTGCCAGTGAAAAACCTCTTGAATTTCCAAGCTTCAGCGTTGTCTTCATCATGAACTTGGCATAATAACAAACCTAGTACGACGAGAAATCGATAGTTACTTGATTCGAGCTGCGATGTTTTGGATCAAGATGTTACACTGGGAGCGAAGAGATCTGAGAAACAGGCGAAAACAAACCCAACCGTTCCAGCGCTGGCGGTTTATATTTCAAACATACTTTACTTTTATGAACATTTATCCTGGCAATCCTGTAGAGGAATGGCTGTGGTTTAAACATTGTCGAAGAAAAGGCATTCGTTTTTCTGTTCAACCGTCTAAGTATAGTTTATACCGTGAGGTAAGTTATAGTTCTCGGTCAACCAGCATTATTGAAAGACGCACGAATTGTTTTGAATAAGGCTAGTGGTAGTAGTGTATGCGAAACCTTTGTGGTAGACTTAAAAAAAACCCAAATCCCGATTAAACCAGCGGCATAGAGTGATATCAATAGTACATCCTTCGTCCATGTTCGTTTGTTACGTTGTTATTGATATTATTTAAAGCTGCCTTTTTTTTTCCAAACTAAGATGACCAAATCTATATTTTAATTGGTCGAATCTTTTTAATGTTTCTAATTATGAGCGCAAGTGAAAAAGGAAAAAAAAGGATATTTTGCAAGCTTATTTCTGCAGTCATTCAGTTTGTGACTCGACTGAAAAAGGATTATCGAAGCCCGTCTAGTCTAATTGTCACTTTTCCTCTACAAGAAAAATTCATTAGCGATTCTTTACTGGTCTTAATTTCAAAATTTTCTCTAGCCTACAATAAATAATCTCACGATTATTATTGGTTTTTTGTTTACATTGGATTTTTAGTTCATTTGGGTAGAAGATTGCATTTTTTTTTTCTCGGTTGTGTGGATTAAAATGATTGTACTCGCCATCTGTCAAGAAACACTAGTGTTTTTATTCAAATGACTCTCTCTTGTTTTGATCGCAGCCTCTCTTGACCAAATGAAACCGTTCACATGTTTGTGTTTTTTGTTTTTGTACTTCTGTTGCTATTGAATCGTGTAACGTAAACATTGTGTTTTGGCTCTACAATCCCGTTATCAGCGCTGCTTTTTATGTACTTCTTACGTCCCCCTCGCGTGACATACGCAATTCACTTTTCTTCTGACCCTCAACAACTTTTACAGTTGATTTTTTTTTTCAATTTTCAATTTTGTGTGACAATCCTTGCCGAAGATTATAGCTGAGTTTTGTTTGCAAAAGTCATTACGGTACAAGTACTTTCTCATATCAATTTAAAAAAATGATTTTCATAACAATCGATGTTGCGAGCGGTTCGACTTTTTAACGTATTAGTCTTTGTTATATTTAGATGTTAGTGAATTCGTGCACAAATATTCGTTTCGTTCGATGATTATTATTTTCTAACACGAGGGGGTGTTAGTGACATGCTAAACTATTATAACTTTCATCGAGTAAACACTCTTTAAAATGTTAAGGTTATTCAAATATAAATATTTGTCGATATTCCAAAACATAGCACAATTCCATTGAATTATTATCGATATCATATCTGATGTATGATTGATATTTTAGTATAAATAAGGCCTGTTTTACATCATTGGAAAATGCTATTGATTTAATTCTAAATATGTCACCCTTCTGCCCTTATTTATGTGTGATGGGTTTTTCGAAGGCCTCAGGGGCCTTGTTGGGTCAATAAATAGATAAGCATTAAAAGATTATATAAATAGAAATATATATTTAAATATATATTTCATCTTGTTAACGATGTTTTAGCAAGAAAAATGTCCATCTAATTTAAATTCCAAGAAAAGTCTTAAGATTAACAACCTCAAAAATGATTAACCACTGCAAATTCAACGTAATCGACATCTTTCTTTATCACTCCAGTGAAGTTTTAAGTTTTCACACATCAATATCATCGTGAAGATGTTGTCGTTCAACGGCTAAGTGCTAGATCTTGTTCCATTAGCAGATCAGATTCGTTAACTATAAATACCTTGTTCTCCATTTTGGAAGTCAAGCTAAAATAACCCTTAACATATGTATGCTTGGCAACGATCTGACTAGCAAATGACGTGGGAATATTGTATTTGATCAGTCGTAGATTTCTACTGCATACAGACGTATCAATATATCCCCTTGTCATAATTGCCATTTCATTCTACAGTTTTGTTTTTTTTTTTTGTTTTTTTTTTTTTTGGCAAATTTATTTTCTATTGCGATATCTATGACACCAATGTTTAATGCTTTCTGCTCTCTTTCTCGAATTGATTCTGATCTTGTTTCTCGTTTTGCTTTTTACAGGAAATAGCAGAAATAGTTCGACTTTGTACTAGCAATAACTCGTGGTCAGACAGGCGGGATGGTGTAAGCGCATTGTTGGTTTTCCTGAAAAGTTCTCGTGTTATGAGGTAAATATTGTTGCTGTCAATAAGAAATAGAACTCTCTTCGTAAATAGAGAGAGTTTATAATGGCTTATCAGTTGTCATATTACTGCAAGATGAACAAATTATTGTCCACAAATCCTCCAACGAGGGGAGGGGTGGGTGAAAAGTTCTAGTGACATGACGTAAGTATGTAAGCAGGTTGTATGCTACCAGTAATGTAATGTTGTTATGTTACCAGATGGAAAAACGATAGGTTACAAAAGTCCTCGCGAGAGGTGGGTGGGGGGGGGAGGGGGGGGGGGGGGGGGGGGGGGGGGGGGGGGGGGGCAATTTCTCTTTTTTTTGCTGCCCCCTCCCCCCTAGTACTAGGTTAGCCTGAAAGTCTGTTCAGAGTCTAGCACTAAGATCACCCTATCTTCATGTGAAGATCTAGTATTTAAATATTGTACCACAAACGTGAACCAACCAACGTCATCAGACGTGACCTGGTATAGTGTTTTTCATGTATTGGTTGACCTCAGATCAATTGAGTGATTCATTTGTGGTCGCTTAGGATTAAGATTATCGTTCTATGTTGGACTAGGAATTCGTATTGATAATATATTTTTTCTTGTTCTGTTTCAGTGATCTGGAGCTATCTAAAGTGAAGGATTGTTTGACTAGACTATTCTTTGACCCTCATAATAAGGTATAAACAACGTCTACTAAAGCGTGTTATATTGAACATTGTAATGAGGTTTGTAGGATATCATGATCCACGGTGTCAAAGGCTTTTTTTAGATCAATAAATACGTTGCCATTTATGAAACCATTATCTATATTTCTAAGCCAGATATCTAACGCAAAAAGCAGTGCCGTACATGTTGAATGCCCGTAGCGAAAACCTGATTGGGAGTCAGATAAAATTTCATGCTGTATTAAAAACTTTGAGACTTTGATGGCTGTCAGAAACACATTAGTTCGACCACAAAAGGTTTGCCCATGTGTAAGGCTGGCTATCGGCTGGCAATACGGGCAGTTCTTAATATCTTCATGTTGAGTGTAAAATTCACTCAACATTAATGATAGCTGTTGTTGGTCGGTCATTCTATTAGGCTAGGGTTCCGCCGTTGGCTTTTGAGGTTTTTGATTGATTCGTGATAGGAAAAACTGAGACAACTTTGCATGATCTATGATTCAATTGTAGCTTCAGCCTGATAGCTTCTAAGTGAGCTCTCTGATTGGATAAGATCCTTGTTTTGTATATGGACTCAGTATCAATAACTCCATCTTTAGTTCCTTTTGAATGTTACGTCTATTGTAGCTTCAGCCTAGTAGCTTCTAAGTGAGCCCTGTGATTTGATAAGATTCTTGTTTTGTATATGGACTATCAATAACTCCATCTTTAGTTCCTCTAGCTATAGAGCTTTTAAAAGTGACGCCAATCGTATGGGAAAACGACTTCCGGGTCCAAAACGAAAAGTAGTGCAATAAAGATTTTTCTTGACGCCAGGATTTGTTGTCCAAAGTTCTAATTCTTTTAGGTGAAGGTTAAATTATTGAGAATGTTTTTTGCTTCATTTTAGCGTTTTTGTGAGCAGCTCGACCCGGAAATGCGTCACGACTTAACAACTCTATATCCTGCGCCGTCTTTGGCTCTAGCTGCTTACAAGCGGTTTTCTTTTTTCCCAATTCGTGTATTAATCTTTTTATTTTCCTGGTTCCTACATAGGTATATAGTTCGTTCTTAGATGCCCTGGCAGAGTTCATCGTGGTACACAAGGTCGATATACAGGATTGGTTATTCGTACTTTTATCAAGACTTCTCACTAAACTAGGGACAGAAATGCTCAACTCGCTTCAATCTAAAGTAGTTGGAGTCCTGGATGTTGTAAGGTAGGTCAGCACACGAAACCTTAACTGAATCTTACGTCATGCATTGTTAAAAAGATACCTTATCGTTAAGTCCACTTACATAGTGCAGATCAAACACTGATCATACATTAAGTTTCGAACTTTACGCAACATCAATAGGAATTTCGTATGATATCAACTTGGTGAACCACGCCATAAAGTTGGAACAGAAAATGAAGGGCTTAACGAATAATCATTTTTTGAAGTCTTCGTTACGATAAGCCCGTTGACCTCGAAGATAATGGGTCGGTAGGAATGCGTGCCAGGAAGTATCCCGCGTCCACCAGGGACTGAATGGGGTTTACTGTCAATGTGTAGTAACTGGTTTGTTTTAACTATGTTTCTTTTTGTGTGCGTGTTTGTAGGGATTCGTTTCCTTATGACCTTCAGTTCAGCATACTAACAAGGTTCATCACAGACCAAACTCAAACACCCAACCTCAAGGTACAATAGTTAATTCATATAGTTGGTACAGTGATGATTGTCTAATAGCAGCGGTCTTCTAAGTAGGGGTTGCTGATTTCTTGGTTCGCAAACGGTCTCACCAAGGGGTAGTTTGTCTGGTAGAGAAATCCAGGCTACCCCCAGGTCTGTGAATTATCTCACGGGGAGTATCGTATGTGTGCCTTTCCGTGACCGTAATGTTTTCTAGAATTTTGATTGGCGGATTTGTTCCGAGAGTAAATTCTCGTGCAATGTAATAGGTCAGGCATATGCCCTGGCGTGTCACGACCGTGTTCGTGTCGTGAGTTTTTCACTGTCATACAAAAACTACTCTAAGCTCAAATTTGCTTGTTCAGTTGCGTTTTTGTTGTTTGTGGTTTGTTTATTTGTTTAGTGCAGTTTTCGTATGACTGTGAAAAGCTCACTGCACGAACACGGTGGTGACACGGCAAGGGATACGCCAGACCAATCACATTGCACGAGAATTTGCTCTGCATCCAATCAAACACGGCATAAATACGGCGCAGACACGGTCACGCCAAGGTCACGGCACTGCCAGACCAATCACATTGCGCGAGAAAAAAATTATCCAATTAAAATTCTATTACATATCACGGTCACGGCACGGCACGCATACGGCACCGACGTTTTCACATTCATACGAAAACTGCTCTATGCATTTGTCAATATTTCAAATTTGTGATAACATGTATCCTATAGTTCATATGCCGTCTGTTGTATCTGTCAGGTCAAGATAGCCGTACTCCAGTACCTTCAAGGTCTTATATCACTAATGGACTCAAGTGACTTCACTAATTCTGGTGAAACACGTCTTGCTGTGTCTAGGATCATTTCCTGGACTACAGAACCCAAGAGTGCTGAAGTACGAAAGGTAAAGGTTGTTTCCGCAATTCCGCTTCACAGTTCCACCCCGCGTAATTCCACTATTAGCTCAGTTGGAAAGAGAGTGTGTGTATGTTGTTTGGGAGGTCGTGGTTCGAGTCCCAGCCGGACTTACACTCGGGATTCTTAAAATAACTGAGGAGAAGGTGCTGCCTTTGTAATGACATCTGTAAATGGTTAGACCTTCGCGTGGCTTGGATGACCACGTTAATGGCAATCCCCTCCCTGATCAACTAGATACGTTAAGAGAGGACCACGAGTTTATCAGTTGAATTACTGTCAAGTGTCATTCTCTATAAGCCAAGTTGATTTTATTTTAATTATTTATAGCAATTCTTTTTCGTAAAAGTTTAGTTTAAGGAAGATAAATGCTCTTGATCGCTCACAATCTTATTACTGCAATTTTCATAAATGTGCGAACTCTGTGTCTATGAGTTGCACGTTGAAATTTGGTTTTTCGGTGCCGACAGTCAAAAATATGAAAGATACCTACTGATATGGTTTGATTGACGGCAGCGAAAAACCAAATTTCAGACACAGAGTTCGCATGTTTATTTAAATTGCAGTAAAGATCTGTGCTTTTTGTCTGTTTCTTTTTCTGTTAAACCTTTCTGATCATCTTCCTTGTTTGTGTACAGGAATCAGCGGCAGTTATTGTAGCTCTGTTTGAGCTCAACACACCCGAGTTCAGCATGATGTTATCCGTGTTACCCAAGTCATTCCAAGTACGTTTTAGTCTTTCTCTCTCCATTTGTTTCTCTTTATTCTCCAACCAACATTGAAGGTTGTTCTTTCGTCAGCAGGCCTCTCTGGTCGGTCGGGTTAGTCGGCTTACTGTTTAGTTTATTATGCATGTTTGTTTGTCTGCCTGTCTAGGAGGTTGGTCGGTCTGATGTTTCGAGTTGTATGCCGGTTTGTCTTTCTGTTGGTCGGTCTGTCAGTTTAATCTATGGAAATTCGTTGTTTTGCTTGTCTGTCTACACTGTTCTCATCAAACTGATATTCTCTTATTTAGGATGGCGCTACCAAACTTTTACACAGCCACTTAAAGAGCAGTAGTCAAGGCAATGAGGTAAATAACCAAACTATTAGGATGCTATACATCGCTCTTAACCGAGCGCGAGGTCCGTACCTTAAGTTATGGACCGCAAGTTGGCCAATGAACGCACATGAAATTGCCTTACCATATAATAATCTTGGTTAATGACATCAAAGATAAATCTTCGTTATTATTCTTTTAGCCCATTTCGTCGAGTCGAGGAGTCGCATCTACACGAGGCTACGCCACAAGTTACGATGAGACTGATATAAACACCACTTCTCCCGATAGACCAAAGCTACGGCTTGGCTACAGAAGCATGTCTTCCAGCTCCTTGAAAGGATTATCCAAAGACGACGACCAATCTGGCAGAGACTCACCAGGAGCATCAACATCCTCTGAAGGAAGCATACCCCATCCAGAACATCGCGGCAGAACAGCATCACCAAAACTAACCATGAGCCCCAAAACACAGCAAAAGTTTGGCTTCCCTTCAAAATCTCCGAAAACAAACAGCGGCGAAGGTGACGCGATCGGTGACTCGATAGACAATCGGCAAAGTTCGCCGTTTAAATTACGTAAACAGAGTAAGCAGGAAGCTCATGAAGACACGCCAAGTGTATCTTCTGGTTATAATAGTGACGATGTAAATAGCGCGCACGGTGACGGGGCAGTTGGGGGACATGGTTCTCCGCGCACCAACAAAAAAACCTCTGGTCACGAGTACGATCCTAAACAGTACCAGGACACTCAAAATGACTTTCATCCGGTAAGAGATTTAGATATTTTTACACCTAACCCAATGTATATTAAAGAGTCGGACTTTGATGAAACGTAGTTCGCGTGTTCGACAATAAAGGCGGGAAAATGAAAAACGCGTATCAAAAACTGAAGATTCGTAAATCTTTCTCGGAATGACATATACTTAAAAACAAATACGTACCAATAGATCAGGGCCCGATTGTACGAAGGGTGGATAGCGCTATCCAACGGATAAATCCTTATCCAGGGGATAAGTAGATGCTGGTATCCAATGAGTGTAAGCACTGGATAAGATTCATCCGTCGGAGAGCGCTTTTCACACTTCGTACAAGTGGGCCCTGGTCAAAACGCATTTCGCCCGGAAGTATCGACTAGTTCAGGATGTTGCTCGTATTTTATTCAGCAGTGTTCGCGAACGCATAATAAAATGTTGTGTTGTGCTGTTGCAACACAAGTTGCAGAGAAAATTGCTCCGTGTAATGGCGCCTTTACATACAGCTGTTTAGCCATTGTAAAATTTGCAAGTCAATGATTATTTTGCACCATCACGTGCACACACTCATAGTACAGCTTGGGCTGCCTGTGGTTAGATTAATACAGAATAATACAATCCTTTTGCTCTCGGGAATTGAATTCTTTATCATTTGAAACGTATTGTTCCTGACATCCAACATGGCTGCCGTCACGTGATAGTGCAAAACCTTTACTGCATTCTATCTTTGTCGCGAATATACAACATCGTGTCGACTTAACAGTCGTACTAATACTAAGTATTGTGTATGTTCTAGATGCCTGAGCTGAATGGTTTTTCTACGGGAAGGAAAAAGAAGACGAGCGAAACGCTCGATGAACTGGATCGATCGCTTGAGGGCATTGAGACCACGGAATCCTCTTTTGAAAAAGGCAATTCTGCCTTTTTAGTGTTTTTATTTTTTTTTTCGAATTTATCCCGTACCTGATTCAGTCGAGTATACATAATGTTTATCTCACTGCCTTTCCTTGAAAAAGCTCTTACTAATAGAGATATAATGTTTCAGCTGATGCATCTGCACTAGACCAGGAAGACTCACTTGATGATTTGTTAGGTCCACTGCACGACCCTTCAAGTGATAAGGTGGAGGACAAGAGAGGCGCATTGGTGGATATCTTGAGAATGGTTCGTGAAGACTCATCCTCGTTATGGAACTCTTTTCCAAAGGTTTTTAGTGCACTTGCCAAAGCTGTTGACGATGTTCAGGTTTGTACCGAGGGGTGAGGGGTGGGGAATCCTTGGTGTCCCTGGTGTTTCCATCTCCATCCTCGAAAAACAGAAACTCCTATGCAATACACTGTAATTCTACGTATAACTATATAATTCAAAAAAGGTTGAAGGTTTTGTTGCATACTGCATGCTGCATCTTGCATCTTGCCGACTAACCTTGAAATGTCTGTTTGTCTGTCTGTCTGTCTGTCTGTCTGGGTGTAATACTAATATGCTACATTACTATATCTACAGCCTTCCATCAGAACCCTCACCTTAAGAGTGTTAAAAGACATGGTGCGTGCCCAGCCTTTTGCTTTCCATCAAGTCAGTGGAACTACCATCAGTAAAATCCTACAGGCTCACAAAGACCCGCAGAAAGAGGTTAGTCCTTTGATCTCCACAATACTTTTGTTACCACAGTTATCATTGGCACGGAAAAAAGTTAAGGCTTTTCTCAAGATTATCAAGTTTTTGTTTATTACAAAAATGTGAATTGTTGTACGAAATGTTAATCATACTCGGCCTCGTTTTCTCTGTTGTTTATCGGTTCTAAACACTATTATATGTGGGACATTATTTTTCAAAGAGATTACCATTAATCTAACAAATTGTTAGGATACGGTTCACATGTATCTTTATCTAGTGTAACGATATATTTGTTTGACTGTAGTCTATCGCACCATCACGTGCCCACGTCCATAATACAGTTTGGGCTGCCTGTGGCTAGATTGCCGAACAATCGATCCCTTTGCTCTCGGGTATTGAATTCTTTCTCATGTAAAACGATTATATCTTTCCTGCCATCTAACATGGCTGCCGTCACGTGATGGTGCAAAACCTCTATTCACCTGTCGCAACTATTGTTTCGATCAACGTGTAGCAATAAAGTCAACGGAAAAGATTGGCAAGCTTATTGTTACAAGGTCTACTTTGTCTCAAGTGTATTGTAATTGGTTTTGAAGGTTGTTCGTCAGGCTGAAGAAGCTGCTGGTACTGTTGCTAAATCTCTTCTCCCTAAGGACTGTATTCGAGTCTTGGGACCCATCATCAGAGACTCAGATTTCCCTGTCTCCTTAGCAGCAATTAAAATGTTGACCAAGGTTAGTGTTTTATATATGTTTTTTTTCTGATAACACTGCACAATGGGCCTTTGCATCAAACAGCCACGTGCTGATAGATCATTCGATAACGAATTAAATCCATTTAAAGTCTCTTTGCGAAAGCTCTGCTGGATGGCAAACAACTTTGAAATGATCAGTTCGTGTATTACAAAACACCGCCCATAATATTCACTGCAACCCGCCAGTTCATTTCCTGCCCTGCCCTGCTCTGCTGCAACATTAATATACTGCACTATACCAAAATTACGATGCACTACATCACACAACATTATATCAAAACCATATCAGCAACAACGTACTTTATTGTTAGGTTGTGGAAGGAGTTGACAGCGAGACTGTCGAAGATAACCTAAATGAAGTTATTCCAGGCCTAGTAAAGGTAAGATGATCAGGACTAAGCTCGATTTCTGCTTGCTATTATGATCTGTTGTTTAATCTAGTTTGTTATCTGTTGTTCTAGTGCTATGACCACATCGAGAGTAGTGTGCGTAAGGCTAGCGTGTTCTGTCTTGTAGCCCTACACAGTATTGTAGGAGAAGAGGTTCTCCTGCCTCATCTGGCAGAACTTTCAGGAACAAAGGTATGAAATCACTTTACTATAGCGTATTTCATTTATCTAAGACACAACACGACTATATCTGACAATCATTGAATGCCAAAGGAAGGAATAGTTGCCTCTTGGCCTTGACGCTTGTTTGATAATAACAACAACAATCGCAGTAATAGCCACAGCAATAGCCACAGCAACAGCACTACCAGCAACAGCACTACTAGCAACGACGACGCTTATATCCTTATGTGTCAAGAATTTACAATCTTAACAATATTACTCAAGAAATGTCCAGATTGGTTGGGTACTTTTAGAAATAACTGGATAAACTATCCTCTACGCTATTCGGGGTAATTCCACTAACCTGCTTGCATTTACTTCCAACAGATGAAGCTGCTCAACTTGTACATCAAGAGGTCCCAAGCCTCCGCCGGCGGAGTGCGGCCGTGAAGAGCAAAACTGGCCCTGGAATGATAAGCATTGATTGAGCTGAGCGCTCAGAGAAAGAAAGCAGAGGAAACCCCCGTACTTGATTCTGTACTCCGGTTATCCACAATCGTATATACTGCAGCAAAGAACAAGCCAAGCCGGATGTAAAAAAAGGAAGTAAATGAGCAAAAAAACCGGAAGTGGGTTTTGAGATAACTGGAAGTAAATGTACAGAATAACCGGAAGAAGAGGTTGTACAGAAACTTAAAGGAAATCCTCGCCATAATAATATTATCAGCGGTTGTAAAGTTGGTATCGTGACCATGGTTAAATGCTGATGGACATGTAGCCGCACTAACTGCTGCTGCTTTTAAAAGATATATTTATAGACAACTAGTGTAATCTAAACCGGGAGAGAAAACCATGTGTTTTAATGGGGTCACTGTTCTTCTCACTCAGCAACATAGTCCTGAGATCGGTTCCTCAGTTGTCCAGTTTTGTCGTTTCTTGCCCTCCCTTGTGTGTCGCGCCAAGAAATAGAGAACACGACACCAGCACAAACCAACCTGAACTTTGAACCACTCGTCCACATGGGCACAGATTTTCTCTGTTGTAACGATTGACTAGAGAAGGAATGCTGGTATGTCTACCAGTGGTCTTCGCTTTTTTATTTTATTTAGCAGAAATCTAAAGAACCGCAGTCATGGACCATTTCTAAGATGACGAACATGATGCATTGTGGTCTAGCTTGGGTACCAACATTTTTCGTTCACAATCTTGTTTGTACAGACAGTCAGACAACAATGCCTAAACAAAGTGAACATGTTTCCCTAACACGTTATATTTCTTTTAATCCGTCTTTTTCGGTTCTAATATATATTACCTTATAAATATTATTTTTAATGTAGAGCAAGTAATGATCCAGAAACGAGTATATTGAACTAAAGTTCCCGTCATGGTAATATATGTAATATTATATTTTAGGCTTGCTGTAGATTACCAAATAGATAAAAATATTTCTGTTGTAAAATAATCATTATTATTATTAGAATTTCAACGAACTACTGGTCCTCTTTTCTTTTTTTCTTTTTTCTTTTTTTATTATTTGGGGGTTTTTTTCGTCTTTTTGGGGTATCTCTTTCCATTTGTCTTGTTTCTATTCTTTTGTAAGATCCTAGGATCATCTCACTGTAAAAAGGCTTCACATTGCGGTAGATTCAATGCGAGTAGTCCAAGCTAGCACCATGGAAACATTATTTGGACTATCTGTATTTTCAAAATGTGTTGAATCTCTCAATATGACCAACTCCGGGGTCTGGGGATAGAAAATTGAAGAGCAATGGGGCGTTTACACGATGACGTCTTTTTCCTACCATTACTTAAAATAGTTCGCAAAATTTCGAAACTTCTCGTTACCCTTTTTTATCATCAAATTGTATACCTATGGAAACATTTTTCGAGAAATTTCTTTTTCAGAAATGAAGAGGTACTCAATGACAGGCAAAACATTTAGTTTATCTATCGCTATTTACACTTTATTCCCTTCCTATGTATTATCAATAGTATTGCTAAAACCCCCAATATGGAGCAAACAGATAATAGCCCTCATAGTACCTTCAAGGAAAAGGAGTTCTGTTGAAATATTCAAGCGAAGTTCATGTCGTGCGAGCTAGCTTACGTCATTTACAGTCACATGATAACATATATTCCCTACGCACCCCACCCCCCATGTGCGAAAATGAATACTTTGAAGTTACTTAAAACATTCAGTTCAACATTAAAGCAAGTCATTTTCTTGTCCAAGGTCAACCTTTGCCACTAAATGATAGGACGGCTTTTATAACAGCTGTCGAGAAGGGACTGGTGTCCAGTTTCTTATGAGAGAAAAATTGTCGAAAGGAGACTGGTTATAAGTAGTTCCCAGACGATTGTGATATGCGCTGATTTGCTGTCGAAGGATAACTTGGTATCGATGTCTTTGACGAATGGGAATTTCTTGTGATGATGAGACTGGGAATTACAGCCACTCCACTGACAACACGTGAAACAGTGCTTGACTTTGACTGCAATTGAAGAATATAGCTAAACTTAGTAAATTGTGAACAATTTAGTTTGCGAATCGAACAAGCCAGTTCATATAGTTTATAAGAATCGTTTTAAGTGCGCATGCGATTTCCACCCCGCTCCTCCCTAACCCTTTGGTTGCCAAAAGTGCTTAATTTATGCACGCTTCAAATTATTCCCACCATATTTTCTTTTCCTCCACTTTTTTTCTTTCATTTTTTTTTTTTTTTTCACTTATCGCACTTCATTAGCGCAAGCTCTCCCTCAAAGTCATTAAAGACCCTTCATTAATTCCACCCTTTTATGCATTTCCCCGAGCAAGAAGACGTGTTAGATTACAATTTGGATCATTTTAGTGCACGCTTATATATAGTTATTCCCAAATGACCTTAATATGCAAATCGCCTTGCAACTTCAAAGTTTTCTGTCACGTCTTTTTGGAGATGATAAAAACTAGCTAGTCAAGCTTTCGTTATGGATTACACTATCAACTAACAAGGTCTTTGATGTACAATGAAGGGGTGCTATAGAGTGAAGACTGCATCGATATTTTCCACTGTCTCGGACCCAAGGTTCGATGGAAAAGGCATATAATCCAGTTCACAGACAGGTATGTGCTCCTAATTATCAAATATCTTAAATTCGTTGTAGCAATAGCTTGCTAAAATAGTATTGACTATTTAAATAATTGGTCCAGTCTTGCCTTCATATACTATATTATATCAACTCTGCGTACACAAGATTTTGCATTTTTTTTTTTTTGCGTATAGAAGGTGTAAAAGTACTTAAGTAAGCGGTCCTGGTGCTTATTTTGATTTGTAATTTTGTTTTAAAAGATTGCCATAAAAGTATATTTCAGCATAAGCTAGTTTGGTATTTTTGACTTGGAAAATTTTAAATGTTATTTGTTATAATAATCGATGATAGCGTACCCTTTGATTTACGTGTATAAAGCCGAACTTATCAATTATTTTGCATAGTCATTTCGTTTGGATGCACTCATGACACTAAAACATAACAGGACTGCATATTTAAACATGACATGAGGCTCAAGGGAAGACACTCTGAACCATACAAAAGTTTAAGGGAACTTTTTCAAGCAGGGTCGTAGTGAGGTCTCAATTAATTTATGGGGGGGGGGGGGGGGGGGGGGGACATGTGCCACTTTCCCGACAAATCCACAGAAATTTTGCATGAATTAATTTAATTTTGGTGCCGAGACCAAACATTTAGCTGGGCACGTGGCCCCCACCCCCCTCCCTACGCTAGTGAAGCCAAGACATTAATTAATTAGTGGTACTTACAAGCACAAGGCTGTGCCCTTGCGCGCCTACACTGCTTGTGTGTAGCACATCCCATCTCATAGTGCACTACCTCGCCTCTCTTAACACTCTTGGTATAGCAGATGTTAGCCAGCCCCTTGTTGCACACTTTTAGAGTCTTCTTCTCGGTACATCCTTCATAGGTGGAGTTCTTGGTACACTGATGGCATTTAGGGTACATCTCACTCGTGGGGTGGTTAATACTGCCCCGTTGATAGAGTAAATCAGGATCGATGTCTTCCTTATCGATCCATGTTTCTTCGGCACTGCCATTGGCTATAATATAAGACAACAAAAGACCAACATATAACATGATTATTTATTGATAAAAAAATAGAAATATTTTTGCACTAGAAGTTTTGCGCGATCACGTGACGGCAGCCATGTTAGATGGCAAAAACAATACAATCATTTTAGATGAGAAAATTTTCATTTCCCCAGAGTAAAGGGATTCTATTGTTAAACCTTATACCTGCAACAGAGATACTATAAACTACTTTCATTTTGTAAAGAAAAAAACAGTCAGGTCTAATATTCGTATTATATATTTTAAAGCGATATTATTTTTCTAGGTCTTAGACTAGATATAGGTAACAGAGAGAGTGATAGCCCCCTAAATCCCTACACTAAATTTTGCCACATTAAATTTGGTTGAGGCTTCATATATGGTACTAGTTAAGACTGTACCGGTTGAACGACAAAACGTAAGTGAATAAGAAAAGATTTCAATTCTCCAAATTAAATTGATGTAAACATTGCACTAAGACGAATTAGGTCAAGTAAGTTAGTGTAGGCTCATTAGTATTCGTTTTCTTGTACTGAGATGACCTTGTATGGTGGAAGATCGGTGGAAGCGGGCAGTTGTTCGAATGCGCAGTTAGTGAATGAAAACTGGTAACACAGTGCCTTTTAATATATATAGCAAAGAATACAATGTAATGCCATCCCAAACTAATTTCTTCGACTGCACGTTACGTCATCACGGCCTCTCGAGCGGGGCGTTGGTGCCATTTAACAAAAGATTTCTCATTAGCGTCCATTGTAAACGGCACCAAAATGGCCGCCATGTTTTTGTCTTTTGACTCTCTTGGGGATATAATGAGGTACCCAATTCTCAATGTGTAGCTCTCATGGTAATCATATGTCAGTGAATCTAGTGTTCTGGAATATGTGGCACGTGTTGAGCTCTCGAGTAAGTGGATCAATATATATCCCCACCTAGGTGTCATTGCTAAGTTAATGAATACGGTGCATAGTGTTCTAGCTTGAGTACAAACATTTTTTGTTATTCATTATGCCTTACGTGGTGTTGTTAGTACCCAAGCTAGACAACAATACATCTCATCTGTATGTACCACAAACACCACCCTCAAGTGATAAAAGCTATTAGTTTACCAACCTGCAGTCGCGTTAGTAATTAGCGATTTTACGGTATTTTTCTTTGGGCTCATTGCCCTTTGCAGCAGGTCTGACGCGGCGCCATGAGGGAATACAAAGAAAGAGATAGTGTATGGATGTGGTTCCTCTTCTGTCTCGTTACTACCAGTCGTTTGTTGCGCTGTGAGTGGTTGTTCTAAGCCGTCAATTGCTTAAAGGAGGGGAGAATTTTCTTTAGACAATATTACTATACTTTATCTTTTTTACTTTCTTTTATTACTTATCTTTTCACCTTTTTTCTTTTCTTTTCTTTTCTCTTCATCCTTCTTTTCCATTTCCCATTATTTTCTCTTTCATATTCTCTTTCATCGTTTTCTTTCCCTTTGATAGTTTATTCCTCCTATAGTTTAATCTTGCTTTTTATTTTCATTTATTTAATTTCTATATTTTATTTTGTCAAATATTTAAGTAATAAGCATAGTCTTTAGCCAGTTTTGTCGTTTGATGAATCATTAGTTACTGCAGCAGGCTTTAGCGAGCTACTAGTTTTAGCATCGAGAAAGGGATTTGTTCCGGCTGAAAAAATAACCGATTCATTAAATAACCGATAATTCATAGCCGATAAGAAAAAGCCATTCGCTTTATTATTCTAAGGCTTTACAGAACCTGTTTTCACTTTGGACCGATCCGCTGATATCCTTTTTCTGCCCTGTCGCCAATAGGCCCTGGCTTTGATCAGACTAGAGCTTGTTTCAGGGTATCGATAAAATTTGAAAGTAAACTGATCGATCACATTAAAATTATACGCTTAGCTTTAGAGTGAGTATTAAATCTGCACCTCAATTGATTAAATCTGATAAGTTCATCAATGTGATAATAACTCAATACTAATTCTTTGACTTGTGTTTTGTCAAGCTTAACCTTCTGTGATTCGATAATCCCATGCGTGTAATTAAAATGAGAACAAGAATAATGGTACCGGGTTCAATTACATAACATAGGTATTACCAAACAAAATCCAATCAACTCGCAATTTCGACATGGATAATAATTTTTGCTCAAATTCAATTCCGGAACTTAAATTACAATGAAATAATACCTGAAGTTTCTTTCCATGGAGGTGGTATTTCTTATCACATTTATTCAAAATAAAAATAAAAAACATTTCAAAATATTGATGCTATTGTTATTATTATTATTATTTTGTTATTTGGTTTTTGACCATGATCGATCCATATATACTCCTTTCGCTGTTTTATTTTCAGAGTTAGTGTTTGGTCCTGAATTCTAACGTTATTACTATTCGATAAAACTCCATCCTATTCTCGATCGAACCGGCTTTGAAAATAGAATTCAAGTTCTTGGTGTTTGATGATGATCTCATCGTTGATCACCGATTGAATCGCAAACTTCTGTTCAATCCCTCTGCTATTTTCCTTTGAACATAGGATTATAAAGAGCGCAAAAAGCACTTTTTAATGTCGGAAGCCTTTGCCTCTGTGTTAACATATTTGGGACATATTTCGGATCCCATATTTCTACCCGTCATCGAAATTCCACAAATTCATCAAGTCGCTTCAAAATTTTTCAAGAATGAACAAATGCACTTAATATCAACAAGAAATTTTATAATCCCATTGAAAATAAGATTCCAGGAATCAAAACAGGCATTTCATTGTGTAAGAGAATAAGCCTTACCTATAGCCAAGCAGATAACGCTTAGAACAACCAATCCGATGTTTGTCATGTCCAGTGTTAGTGATAACTGATGGGTGGCCTGCGAGGGTATTATTTTGCCTGTCCGGATTAACAGGCGATAACATGTACCTGCAGTGAAAACCTAAAACATACTTCAATTCATTTGTTATTTATAATAAACCAGCAGAAAGACACCCCAGGGTGAAATCAAACACGTACCGAGAGTCCTTTGTCTCTCTCTCTTGGAATCAGTACGGATGATATATGCTCATAATACTGGGAACTGTTAAACTCGATGTCACAAGTACTTTGTCATGTTTATTCTTGCTTCACAAAGCTACATCATACTTAAAATCATAGTTAAATCCCATAATGATAGTATCTTGTCGAGCGTTTTCAGTGAATCATTTCTATAACTGTAACCATATAATTTACTCTTTTTTCGTTAGTTTCTTTTTTTTTTCTTCTTCTTCTTTTTAAGTTTTCTTTCTTCTTTCCTTGCCTTTTTTCTTCGTCTTTTTTTATTCCATATCTTTCGTTCTCTCTTTCCTTCTGAATTTCCTTTCTTTCGCTTTCTTCTGGTTTTAAGCCGAGTTCTCAAAACGGTAGAAAATCAAATTGTAAAATTAGTACGAATGTTTGGGACGTAAAGAATAATCAATAGAAATAATTATTGATCGAGGACTAAAAGTAAATGGTATATTGTCGGAATAATCTAATTAAATTGCCAGGTTTGTTATAGTTATCCGGTTACCGTTAGCAATCAAATGTTCACACTTCAAGTGGCATGTCAACCTCGACAAGTTCAAATGACGACATGCAGAAAGAAGATAAGGATCGATTCTAGTTGAAAAAAAGTTAAGCGAGGAAAAATAGTCGGTAAAATACGGATAATATTGTCATGAGCATGCGCGGTGCATCCTTGTGGTTCTAAACTCTTTGGGCTTCCTTTGTCAAATGCCAGGTTTCTAAGCTAAATTCAAGATGGTGGACAATTTCAAGTGTTCCTTCACTACAATATCTGAAAGTTTTGATTTATATTTTCAACATTTTAAAGCGTCAAAGGGCAAAAAATCACCGAAAAGGAATCTATGTTCACTTTCAAATAAAGGTAAGTTTGTCAAATATGGATATAGAGTCGATAATCGTGCGAACGGCAATTTTATTTAGGGGAAAGTTTGCCTGATAAATGAATAGTGAATTTGAAAGAACACTCGCGAGTCGTTAGTCCCTGGTTGTGGCGTAAAATAATGCCATCATGCAAACGGTCTATTCAAGCATTTAATTGTTTAAGAAAAGGCGATTAATCATTTCATAATGGTCTTTTTGCAATAAATACTTGAATGACTATAATTACTGACTGGAATTTTTTTTTAGAAATTTTACATATCTGACACAAGTACGTTTCTTAGATTAGTAAGCTTATTACTAACTAAAATTGTTCTCAGATGGTAGTTCATTTTCTCTATTAATACACTGTACATATTCTATATATATATAGCAAAGTGTGTAATATTTCATAGTAAATAAGTATTGTTTTATTTGTGCCATCCAATGAAGCCTTTTTCAAGGGAAGTACGCACCTTGGACCGAAATCATTCGATATTGAGATGATTTATCAGCATTTGGACCAAAGTAACTAAATATTTCGATCCTACAAAATGTACTATCTCTTTTTAGACCTAGAAACTTTAAAAATGAAAAAACCTTGTACCAAAATATCCTCACAATACTGCTTGGTGTTGATGTTATTGACTTCCTCGTTATATTCAATTTTGTCTTTCTTTCCTGACTTGACAAGTCTTCTTTAGTGATCGGTGATGATTGCAATAAGTTTTCTAAACGGCCAAAGGCAGCAAAAATATTGAATGTGTCCGCTTTAACTGCTTATATGTATATGGGCCATAGTTGATGATACATGGCGATATATCTGTTGTACTGTAGGTCTTGTCATGGATATGGACCACTCCATACCATAACCATAGCTGATGATGCATGG